AAAAAAAAAAAAATATTAAAAAATATTATAAAACAAATCTTTTACAGGGCTATTCAAAAAACGCTGAAGGGTTTGGAGAAGGCAGGAGAAGTGAACAATCTAGGACAAAATAGCTGAACTGGAAAGTGAACTGAATTGGAGAATCTTTCCAAATCAGCTATTTTGTCCTTGATTATTTACTTCGCCTGCCTTCTCCAAACTCTTCATTCCTTTGTGAATAACCCTTTTAATGTTTAATCGTTTAGTGCCATCTTTCAATAATTAAATGTTTAATGCCATGACTTACAATATACATACAATTAACTACAAATACAATTAAAAGTTATAAATAATATAGGTCACACACCACAATTAAACCTCTTTCAAGTTAATAACTGATTCTGCTACCATTGTGCAGAAGAAGAGAAATTCATAAGATAGTGTACCAATACTGAGAACGCAAAGAAAATGATGGAAATATGGCTGGCAATGAACAAGAATAGGGGAACATTGCTGTGCCTAATAGTGCCCATAGACATTAAAGTGACATTAAACCCTCAGATTTTTTAACATAAAACAATACTGTAATGTGTACCTTACTGTAATCCATGGTTGGGAAAAGCCTTAACCCCATAGTTCTCCTTTAAGAAGTTTCATTCAAAGTCCCTATGGATAGCACCTGGACATCAGGGCATTTCCTGTCATTGATTTACTGTAATCCATGGTTGTTTCCCTTCTCTTTGCTGCTTTTCCTTTTAAATCCTCATGTCTTCTCATGCTTGTGGAGAACTTCCCTTTGCAGCTGACTGCCTCTTCCTGTAGTGCTGGCTCAGGTTGCAAACCTATACACAGACACCATGTAGCCATTCCAGAGACAAGGCAGTCTGCTGCAAAACAGAAGTTCTGCCCATCATGAGAACAGATACAGATTTAAAAGGAAGAGCAGCAAAGAGAAGGGAAACAACCATGGATTACAGTAAGTCAATGACAGTAAATGCCCTGATGTCCAGGTGCTATCCATAGGGACTTTGAATGAAACTTCTTAAAGGAGAACTATGGGGTTAAGGCTTTTCCCCATAGTTCTCCTTAGGGTAACGGGAGGACACAAACTAGCGTCCTCCCGTCACCCTAGGCTCAGTATACCGCGAGCTGTAGCTCACGGTATACTGAGACACCGCAGTATACCGCGAGCTGCTGCTCGCGTTATACTAAGACGCTGCAGCTGAAGACATTTATGTCTGGATCCGCCCAGCTGCGTGACTGACAGCTGGCTCTGCCTACCTAGAGGCAGAGCCAGCTGTACCCGCCCCCCTCCCCCGTCCGTTCCGCCAGTCAGCGCTGGCGGAGCGGGGAGGGGGGAATCCAGCCCCTCCCCTGTTAGTGCAGAGAGCCGTGACAGGATCGAGAGGTGAGCGAACGCCGGTATGTGTTCGCTCACCTCCCGATCTACTGAGCCGACCTCTGACAGTCTCATTGTCACAGGTGGGCTAGAACTATGAGGTGAGTGAAAAGCACTCACCTCATAGTTCTCCTTTAAAGGAAAAAGCTCCCTTGTCCTCTTCATATTGGCTTACCTGAATCCTGCATCTTACTCCATAGGATAAACATGAGGTGATCATTTGTGTTTAGGGATGTGCTGGCATACAAATTCATGAGAGCAGTTTGATTGTGCCCAAATGATCAACTGCCCTGAAGTAGCTAAGGCCAGCTCAAAGCAAGTCAAGCAGCCTAATTTAATGGAAACTGTTTTAGCTGCCAAAGGATAAGCAATTCTTTGTACCCAGCTTTGCAATCAAGGAACCCCTGCCAGACAGCACAGCCAGAACCATGGTCACCACTGTAGTACATCACAATTTGGTCAGGAACGTTGGGTCAAAACACACCCCTGGACAATGAAATGGACAATGAAACAACAGCAGTGATGAGGATATCCTACTCTGTCTTCCTGTCAGCATGTACATACTCAGCACCTATGCATGCAACAAAAACCTCACTACCAGCTAATGCTTGCCCTTTCACTACCTTTCTCAGTGCTGATGTACTGGACACTGATATCAAGACAAATTCAGGTGCCAATGCCAGTAAAACTGTTGATTAGGGTTGCCACCTGTCCAGGATTTACCCCAACAGTCCAGGTTTTGAATGTGTGTCCGGGTTTCATGGCAGCAAAAACCCAGACACAACATGTCAGACAGACAGGGGCAACCAAAACTAAGATAGGGGCTACTGACCCCCCACTGAAAATAGTCTTTACATACGAATGGGCGGCGCTATTTACATATGAATAAGCCGCGACTCATTCTCCCCAAAAAGGTCAGCACGTCGCTAGAGTGTTTGGGTTTCGCTTGAAGGAAAGGTGGCAACCCTACTGTTGATCTTGGTAGCATATTCATTGAAGAGGCACTTCAATAGGGCACCAGTGCTCATCCTTCTGCAGTAAAATCCCTTTTCATTGTCACCCTTCCTGCTGCTGAGTATGCAAGTAGAGAGACTTGGTAGCTGAATCATAACTATAGTAAAGTCTGCAGCTCCCTGCAAAGCTGCACACGGAAAGCAGGAGCCACTTGCCGATTGAATAATTAAATTATGGGGTTTTTGTTTGCTTCCTGTGGCCCTGAGAGCTCTGGAGAGACTCTCTCAGAAGCTGTCTGGGATGCAAGAATAAAACAACTTTAGCCATGATAGCGGCAGTGGGAGCTGAAAGAAATTAGAAAATGGCAGTCATAAAAGTCTCAGATTTTTTGACTGAAAATGTAACTAATTTAAAAACAAAAGCATACATTGTGCTTGTTTTAATAAAAGCATCTGGATAAAAAGGGTTAATCTGGTGACGGGGTCTCTTTAATAACTTCACCACCAACGAGAGTCTCACAGACATATATAAATCATAGCGCAATCATTTTCAAAAACTAAAACATTTCCATTACATATACTTTTCTGCACACAGAATATAGACAGAATGCTAATACTCTGTCTAAGGGGACATTAAAGGAGAGCTCCAGGCAGAAATAATCTTAACCCTTCCTCATCTTTAACCCCTTAGGCCTTGTTCACACCAAGCACGTTCCAGGAGCAGAGCAGAGCAGTTACAGACCGGAGCAAAACTGCGTCCAATGTATTCCAATTGTATTTTTAGCTCCAGTTCACATTGCAGCGTTCCGTTCCGGAGCAGGTAAAAAAAACTGCAGCAGGCCCTATTTTACTTGCTCTGGAACGCATGCAAACGCATCAAAACGCATGCAAACGCCATGGAACGCAGCACTGAAAGCCCATTTTAAACTAAAAACATTTTTTTAACCAAAAACGGCCCGGAACGCATAAAAAACGCTGCAAAAAACGCGACACAACCCACTGCACTGCATGTGCAGAAACTCATGCAAATCTGCTCTGCATTTGGTATGAACAAGGCCTAAGTGACACCGCTTACAAGCAATTTTGCCATGTGCTTGTTTAACCATATTCTCCATCTTCCTTATTCATTGCACCTAACCATATTATATACCATTTTTAAAGGACAAAATAGGCTTTAATTTGATGTGACATATACATATATAAATTCTTATTTTGTTTTTCATAAAAAACACAATAATTTGCAACATAAATTTAAAAAAACAACACATTTTTAAACAGTTTTTGGCAATAATAATGGGTACATAATTAGTGTAGCTAATTCATAAATTATTTAATTTGTCCTGATTTTTAGGGTATAACATATGTCTGGGATTTCAGTTTATTTTGGAAGTTGTAGGTCACAAAATACAAGGAGTGAAATACAATTTTAGTTTGGGACAATGTTAGAATGTGGTATGTTTGCCTCCTATCCTTAATAGCTTCCACGGCACTATATTTTCAATTTTTTTAACTAAGCTTATATTTCTAAAACTTTCTTTGACATTTTAAAAACTTTTTCAAAAAATTTAAAAAAACTTTTTTTATTTTTACATTTTTTTAAAACTAGGGGACACTAAGGGGTTATTTACAGGGGATTTTATATTTATTATATTTGAGAATACTGTATTACTTTGTATCAGTTGATAGCACACTAAACCGGCTGGCAGCTCCACAACACAGTGAGCTGCAATCCAGCTTAGTGGCTGTCATGGCTCTGTGATCACAGCGATCAGCTATCGCTGTGTTAATAGTGCTGTGACCACCTAATCTGCTGTTGAGGATCTGCCTCGGACCCCGAGGGACCCAGCAACAGCAGTAACTCAATGAGCGCAGGTCCCTTCCTGGACCAGCACTCAACATTGTACCACATGATGGGATTATTCTGTCACCGGTCGGTAATGAGCTGAAAGACTGACGGAATAATCCCGTCATCAGTCGAGAAGGGGTTCAAGAAGAAATTGATTCTAATGGTCAGCCTCTAGTGCACGTTTGTAGTAATTACAGTCACATCAGCCAAAGGGTAAAGTTAAGGATGCACAAGTATGGCAGCTCCAAAAACTGCTAGTGTGGAGAACCAACTGAAAACCATGCAGACCTCCTCTAGAGCAGTGATGTTTTGGGGCTGTCGCTGGGCAACATGGACTTTCATCTCCCTCCAAAGGTTTTATATGGGGTTGAGATCTGGAGACTGGCTAGGCCACTCCAGGACCTTGAAATGCTTCTTACGAAGCCACTCCTTCGTTGCCCGGGCGGTATGTTTGGGATCATTGTCATGTTGAAAGACCCAGCCACGTTTCATC